ATAACCAAAGTAATACATACTCATAGGAAAGAAATTCCAACAAAGTAGTATATAGAGTAAAAAGTGAAAGTTTTCCCCTTGATCTTCCATTTCCAATATTAAAAGTTGGCTGGGGGCCAGCCCCGTGGCTTAGCAGTTAAGTGCATGCGCCCGCTACTGGCGGCCCGGGTTCAGATCCTGGGCGTGCACCAACACACCGCTTGTCCGGCCATGCTGAGGCGGCGTCCCACATACAGCAACTAGAAGGATGTGCAACTATGACATGCAACTACCTACTGGGGCTTTGGGGAAAAAAAGGAGAAGGACTGGCAATAGATGTTAGCTCAAAGCGGGTCTTCCTCAGCAAAAAGAAGAGGACTGGCATGGATGTTAGCTCAGGGCTGATCTTCCTCACAAAATAAATAAATTAATAAATAAAAGTTGGCTGTGTCTCCTTCTATATTTTTTCTATGAATAAATGTACATACTACAAAAGTGATAATAGCTAATATTTACCGAGCATTTACTACTGTGTGCCAGGCACCACTCTATGTGCTGTCCACACATACATTATCTCATTTAATTTTCACAACAACCTTATACAGAGGGGAAAGCATGGAGAGTGAGGCAGGAGGCAGGATTCTGGCCAGGGCTGTCAGTGCAGCTCTAGTGAAGCCAATTGTGAGAGAGCAGCAACCACGTGACAGTTGGGAAGGAAGACGCTCCACACAAAGAACAAAAAGTCCCTGGCTCTGACAGGGGCCAGGCTTAGCAAGTGCAAGAACAAGGCAGAGACGAAGACAAGGGTGCTGGCCAGGAGCAGATCGTGTGGGGCTTAGCAGGCCTGCTGAGGAGTCTAGACACAGGTAAGAGCCTCTCCAAGCTGGCATGATGGCGCCCATGATGAAGACTTGCTAAATCAGAGCCACATCCAACCACACTTTCTGTGTCCTGAACACAATGGACAGCCCTTTACATGCTAGCATTTCTCAAATGGAGCAATGCACAGGCGCCCCCTACAGGCCCCTCCCACACCTGCAGATTCCCCTGAGTCACACCCTTGATTTAGGAGACAACAATACCAAACACTCTTGGGTACTGAAATCAAGGAGCAGCACTCTGCGGTAAGTCGGTCTTCCGGACAATCCAGAATATTCGTATAATAACTTTTTAGATTACAAAATTAAAAACAGAAATTAAAAATAAAAATGACCATAGCCCCACAGATCCTTGTGAATGCCTAAGTGGACCTGAGTTTGAGAAGCACTGCTCAGTAATATTCTTTATCTATCCTACAATGGACAGGAAAGCTGGGCTGCAAATTCTGGCAGAGAACACAGGGACTCCTGACTGAAGAAAGGTCTATGCCAGAGTCTCCCTATGCTATAAATCATTTATCTCATTCTCCTCCTCCACTTTTTACTGAAGAACAAGCTCACAGAAGGACAGGGACACCTGCCTAGTAGCTGTGCTAGCCCTGAAGGCCAGGGCAAGGCTTCATAGTTGGAGGGCAAACGAATGGCCTCTACTTTCAGGGGAGCATTACAACTACTACCCCCGATGCATCCCAGCCCCAGAGCTCTGAAGAGTGTCTTGGTTACATGGTGGCTTCAGCAAGGGCTGTTCCCATAAGCATGTCAACACAGCAACAGTCATGGACCCAAGACATCAGCTACACCAGAACTGGAGCTGAGAAGTCACAAGTCACTCAGCAGTGATCAAAGATACAGTTGAGGGGGTTTGTGCTGACAAAGCTAGTTGAGTGGTGTTTGATTTGGGACATATTTACTTTGGAAAACACACAACAACAGCTCAGCACCAAAGTTCACATTGAAACCCCGCTGAAGACCTCAGCTGATTTCATCTCTGTAACGCCACTTCTCGGAAGCACAGAGGTGAGTTTGGTTCCCAACACTTCTGCGGATTATAAACTCTGATTTGTGGTGGTTAGAGATGGGTAACTGGTTCATTTCTCCAAACTACAAATTCAAAAGCTTTCCATACTATCTTAGAAAAGGAAAAATGTTTTCATTTTTTAATCTGCCTATGATAAAATTCTGTCAGTTAACATTAGTGGGACAATTGACAAAACTGGAATAGGAAAGTATTGTACCTATGTTAAATTATTTGAAATGGATAACTATACTGGGATGATGTATGAGAAAATCCTTGTTCTTAGTCATTTTTCCCTGAAATATTAGAATTAAAAGTTAGAGGGACACAATGTAAGTGACCTACTCTCAAATTGTTAAAAAAAATATAATGTATATGTGTGTGCCTGTGTGTATACACTCATATACATATATATGAAGAGATCATATATATCATCATATATATATGAAGAGATACAGAGAATGATAAAACAACTGTGCCAAAATGTAAAAGTCTGGTGAATCTGGGAAAAGGGTATACAGGGTTTGTTCTCTATGCTGTTCTTTCAAATTTTCTATAAGTTCAAAGTTGTTTCAAAATAACAAATTTTTAAAACTTCAGGCAGCTACTTGTCTCCCATTACATCTGCTCTGTGTGGACCTGGAGACAACAGCTAGGAGGGACTTGGGTGTCCAGGCGTTATGCTCTGATTCATGACCAAAAAGTCCAACTCTGCTCTATGCAATTAGCATGAGAAAGCACCCTATGAAATTTCCAGAAAAACAAACTTTTGAATGATTTACTTTTAAAAAATATTGCTTCTCCTCAAAGATAGTAATCCGGATTTTAACACAACCTAGTGATAGTTTTAAAATGTCTTATATAATTCTCGTTATACTAAATGGCAAAACAATAGCAAGATTTACTTTTTAGATCCTTAATTTCAATCCATAGAAACCCTTCCTCTGATAAGGGAGTAATGAAAACTATTTTGGCTTTTCAGCATATAATGCAGGAACAAGGCATAAGAAGCTTCCAAATATACTATCAGAATGCAGGGAAAAAAATATGAATGTCTTCACCTTTGCCTCCCTATCTGCTCTCAGGTTCCTTTTCCTGAACTCTTATTTATTCAAGTTGGGTTTTTTTTAACCTTATTTTTATCTGAGAAGGATACTTTCATATGCAGCCTAGCAAGAAGACCTCCCCCAAGTTGCTTACTTTCTTCTTTTCTGACTTTTTAAAGTGTATTGCCATCAGTACCCATGCCCAATTCTATCTGGAAACTGGGCCCAGTTCTATTTGCAGCCACAGACATTAGAAATTGTTCCACGTATGCAGGCTACATGTGCGGCACTGTAGCCTCAGCTAGGTGCTGCGGGTGGAGGTAGGAAAAGACAACAGACATTTTCAAAGTCAGAAACTATGTGACTTTCCCTCTCCAAAATGTGCAATTCAAAGCTTTCTTGGTGGTGATTAGAACAGCGTTTGAACCGATTATTTTAACAGTACTGGAGGGGAAGACCCAAGGAGGGAGACTAGAGGCAGAGAAACTAGTCCTAGCACTCCCAGGGAAACAGGTAGAGCGCTCGACACGAGGGGATGGAGGGTTCAACCAACTTGGTTCCAATCTAGCCACTGCTGCTTATAGCGACATAAGGCTCACTATCCTGATATGTAAAACGCTGAGAGGAGGAAGTTACGTTACATAGACAAAGTTCCTTGTACAGTGCCTGGCATCCAGCAAACACTCCATCACTGCCATCATCAACATTAAGAAAACTGACAGCATTTCAAGTGGGGTACCGGTACAGTTAGCCCCATCTTTAGGCCTAACAAGTCCAAATATTTACTTAACAGGAGCCAGTGATTCTTATTTGGCCTAGACTGGAAGCAGATATTCTGGTCCTCAAATATCTATCTAACAGGAGATTGTCACACACACAGAAACTTAACAAGACACACTCTTCTTCCCGGGGTGATTAGAAGTGATGTTGGGATCATGTATGACTGTACAACATTATAAACACCTACTGTCATTGTCCTGGCAAAACACAGAAGCATGAAATAACAGTTCATCCACCCAGGATGAAATTAATAACCAAGGAGTACGCAAGAGAAAGACAAAGCCATTTGGCAGCCAAAGCAGATTTGACAAGTCAAGTCAAACCCTTCCTTGGAACGAGGCAGGGGATGAGTAGATAAAGACAGGCTTACCACAGGGTATGTATTAAAAACTTATCCTGTTTACTTAAATAAAGGGAATGCCCCTCAAGCCTTTAGTAAGAGTTTTCTGACAGTACCCTCACACAGACCTTATACACGTAGTGAGATTACTTTAACCCCACGCTAGAAGCAGTTAAGTAGAAAGTTCCTCCTGATAGCAGCAGATACAAGGAGATACAAAGGATACAGATACAAAGAAGAAAAAAGTACACCTGCAGCAAGCCATATAACCTCACAGCCTCCAGAGCTGCGGAGAAAGACAGGCCACCACCCATACTCACTAGGCCCCGAGGAAGCCTCTACATTACAGACAAGTTCCAAATCTTATGCAAGTTAACCCCAAATAACAGCACAAATTTCACATACCTTTAGGATATTTGTTTTCAGAAAACATACACAGTGGCCCATACACATTGTTCAACATCTCCACTCCAGCCCCACCTCTTGGTGAAGCTTCCCTGACTTTTCCAGCACCCACTCCTACCACAGAAGGCAGAGCTGCAACCCAGCTCCGCACCCCCACCTGCTTTGGTAGCATCCTTATGAGAGGCCCACTTTATTACGCATCTGTTCCCAAGTGACTGGCGAGCCCCTTGGTGGGAGAGACCTTTGTGCCTCCAGTGCCTAATATGTTGTTTGGAGATAGGAGACAAAGTTTAGTGAATGAATGAAAAAGAAAATCCCCAGGGCCCCTGAGCCCCCAAATTCTAGAAGGTTACAGTTTTGCAAACCTTTAAAGAAGAGATTCTCATCTAGGGGTCCACACAAAATGTTGAGTATCTGTTTATCTTCACCAGATTCTCTGCAAGTCCATAATCCTAAACTGGTTAGGACCTGTGTTCCCAGGGCATCTTCCCGAGTCAAAGCTGGGAGGAACTTGCCTTTGGAGCACTGCCGGGGAGGGTCTGCCAGGCTGTCTCTCATAGTGTCATTCTCCCTCCCAGCTTTAGCGCTGCCAAAATGAAACGCCCCTTCCACTCCCTCATCATTTCTCTCATCCTAACATCTGTGTTTGGGAACGACGGCCTGGTGGATCAGCTTGAGAAAGGAGGGGAAGATTCTAAGTCTGTGGATCCCCAATGGGGGCAGTTAAATAGCAAAAACCTGAGTATGCCCCTTCTCCCTGCTGACTTCCACAAGGAAAACACGGTTACCAACGACTGGATCATAGAGGGGGAGGAGGATGAGGATTATCTGGATCTGGAGAAGATATTCAGTGAAGATGATGACTACATCGACATCATTGACGCGGTTTCACCGACAGATTCAGAGGCCAGTGCTGGGAACATCCTCCAGCTCTTCCAAGGCAAGAGCCGGATCCAGCGTCTTAACATCCTTAATGCAAAGTTTGCTTTCAACCTTTACCGAGCACTGAAGGAGCAGGCCAAGCCTTTTGACAACATTTTCATAGCCCCTGTGGGCATTTCTACGGCCATGGGAATGATTTCCTTGGGCCTGCAGGGAGAGACTCATGAACAAGTGCACTCGATTTTGCATTTTAAAGACTTTGTCAATGCCAGCAGCAAGTATGAGATCACGACCATTCACAATCTCTTCCGTAAACTGACTCATCGCCTCTTCAGGAGGAATTTTGGGTACACACTGCGGTCAGTCAATGACCTCTACGTCCAGAAGCAATTTCCAATTCTGGATGACTTCAAAATTAAAGTAAGAGAGTACTACTTTGCCGAGGCCCAGGCAGCTGACTTCTCAGACCCTGCCTTCATATCGAAAACCAATAACCACATTCTGAAGCTCACCAAGGGCCTCATAAAAGATGCTCTGGAGAATATAGACCCAGCTACGCAGATGATGATTCTAAACTGCATCTACTTTAAAGGTAAGAAACAGCTTTATGTTTCTGAAAGCAAACTCATGACAGATTCCTTTAGTACACAGGTGGACTGCATGCCAAGAGCTGTATTCTAGCTCTGATTTATCCAGGAAACCAAGACACGAGGTGAGCTCACGGGGACAGGGAAGATCATGGTGAGGTGACAGTAGGAGCAGACACTTAGTGAGCCTTAACTCTGCACTGTACACTCGCTTAATCTTCACCACAACCTTGGGAGGCAGTTACTGTTATCAGTGTCCCCATTCTACAGATGGAGCCACCAAGGTACAGAGAAGAAAACTGACACTCCATGGGCACAGCTAGTAAGGGGCAGAGCCCAGGTTGCCCCAGACAAGCCATCTCTAGTGCTTTGTTAAATTGGAAGAAATAATGCAAAAACCTTTTTAGCCTGTGGCCAGCCTGGATTTCAGTTTTTTCATTTCCTTTCCCAATTATCAGTAAGCAGGAACATGGGTGAAAGGCTAAAGAAAGGTGTCTGAAAACTGTTCAGCCTGAGTTACTGACATAAACACCGACAGCTCCTTTTCGGGATACCTCTGCACTAATGGGAAAGTGGGAAATAAACTTATTTCTGGAGCAACTGTTCTGGACTAGGCACGAAGGCACTTTTTAATGAGAATACCTCCCATACACACTATACACACACAAGACCCCTGGAGTCCTAGAAATAAATGGGCATAGATTTGTAAAATCCAGACTTCTCCTTTAAAATGCTCTCACGGGGACCTGAACCAGAAGAAACCTCTACTTTACGATCCTGGAGAGCTGGAGGGCAGACACAAGGAATGGGTCTGCTTCACAGCTAGTCATGGTAACACAAACCACTCTCCTCTCTGCCACCAAAAATCAGCAGGCACCAGCTAGGGTCACTCCCTGAGGTCTGGGAGGCCATGCTTCCTGACTAGTTAGCTCCAGTGTGGTTTAGAGCAGCCCTGGGAGGCAAAAGACAGAGGCCGTCTCCTGGCTGCTGCTGTGGGGCAGTGGGACCAGCGCCCCCCAACCTGCCAATACACTGCTCTGTGCCTAAGCTGAGGCCTCCCAGCAGCTGTGCCAGGCAGGCATTCTACCAGATGGACAAAGGAGGGCCGAAGAAGCCAAGACTGCAGGAATGGCCTGGAGGCTGAGCCGGACTCCTGGGCTTCCCCCTCAAACACTGGGCACAACACAGGCCTCGTAGTGGGTAGAACCAAAGGCTGAGGCTCTAGCAAGCCTGTGACAAACACAGAGACACACAAGCAATATATACAATGAACACACACATATCCTTTTTATTACTGGCTATCAGTACAAGTTTTGGAAGTGAGCAAATTGCTGTCAAGTCCGGCTTCACCACTCCTTATTTGAGTGGCCTGGGGCAAGTCATCCACTGTCCCTGTGACTCAGTTTTCTCACCTTGATCATGGAGATGATAACACCTAACCTGACAGGGCCAGGGGCAGCATTGCAAGAAACAGTGATGCCACACTGAGCCCAGTGCGTGGCATGTGGTGAGAGCTCAATGAACTTGGATGAATAAAACTGTAGATTCCAATATTATATGGTATATTAAGTATGTACGATATTGCTAGTGACATTTATTTTACTTCTATGAGCAATTAAATTATGTTTAGGAATGACTTTAGAACAGGCCAATGGAAGACATCGGGGCGGCACTGAAGCCCCCAGTCCTACCAGTCTGTGGGGCACCACCGGACACTGAGAGCCACTGCATTAGGCTGGCTGGGTGTTCAGAAGCAGGCAGAGAAACACAGCAGCAAGCCATCCCTGCCAGTAAGGGGCAGGAGAACAACTAGGATAGTCGGTTTAAAATTTCCTGAATGTAGTAACCAATGCCACACCAAAGTGTAGAAGTGGCAAATATATGTGCTTCCTTTCATATCATATTGGAATGGTCACTTAATTTAGGGCTGGGAATCAGAGAGATGAAATGCTAGTAGCAGTCAGTCTTTCAGGGACACTTACCAAAGGAGAGGAGAGTCTAGAAGAATTATTTCAATCTCTAGCTCCCAAATCTCTGTTACTAATTTGATTTTAATTTCAAATGTTACAACCACTTTGTAGAGCACAATAAAAACAGAGGTTGGGCCTCAGGAGAAAGTCAGAAGGAAAGTATCCCAGGGGACAGTTCTGCCCCAGAAGAACCAGGAAAAGCAGTGATTTCCAACCAGGGGGAAATTCTCCTCCTGGGGCAAATGTCAGGAGACATTTGTGGTTGTCACAACCTGGGGGAGAGGGGAAAGCGGTCCTGGCATCTAGAGGGTAGAGGCCAGGGATGCTGCTAAACACTCTACAATGCACAGGACAGTCCCTATCAGAGAGAACTGCCCAAATGTCAACAGTGCTGACGTTAGGAAGCCCTGGGTGGAGGCCAGCTCAGGGAGAAGGAAATCTAGCTCCCATCACAGGCAGGTGGAGGCCGTCTGGTGTTTAAACCTCCCAAGGAACCTCCTGCTTATCTCATCCCAACTACTCTACCCCCCAGCTAGAAACCTTGAACAAGTCACTTCACTTCTTTGTGTCTCTGTTTCCTCATCTGTAAAATGGGGATAATATCAAGCACCCCCCTCATATGGCCGCTAGAAGGAGAAGATAAGGTATACAGGAAAGCTGCTTAGAAGAATGCCTGGCACACTGCCAGTTCTCAACTCTTAGTCGTCCATCATTACTAGTTACTAGCATCTTACAGTAAAATAGACAAGTACTTATTCCTCAATACACAGCATGGCACCTACATCTAAAGGGAAGATCTTGACAGCAGCGCTGCATCACCAATGGTCTTGCTAGTCACTAGAGAATCACAGAGTGTGGGGGAAGAAAGCCATCAACACAGAGCTGACATGAGCTCAAAGCTACTTGTTTTACAAACAAACAAGTAGAGGCCCAGGCAAGTTAGGTGTCAAACAACTAGTGTCAGAATCTAATCCAGAATTCATTCCAGTCTATTTAACCTCTCCACCATTATCACCCTTCCTAGAAGTATGTTAGCATTCTGACCTTAGAATTCTCTAAAACAGTGGTTCTCAAAGTGTGGTCCCCAGACCAGAAGCATCAGATCACCCGGGAACTTGTTAGAAATGCAGATGCTCAGCTAAAACCAGAGCTATGGAATCAGAGACTGGGGGCAGGCCCTGCAGTCTGTTTGAACAAGCCCTCCAGGGGTTTCTGATGCACACTCACATGTGCTCTAGAAGAACATTTTATTAAAAGCCTTATTTCTGTTGACTTGACAGGATCCTGGGTGAATAAATTCCCAGTGGAAATGACCCACAACCACAACTTCCGGCTGAATGAAAGAGAGGTAGTTAAGGTTTCCATGATGCAGACCAAGGGGAACTTCCTGGCAGCAAATGACCAGGAGCTGGACTGCGATGTCCTACAGCTGGAGTATGTGGGGGGCATCAGCATGCTAATTGTGGTCCCACACAAGCTGTCTGGGATGAAGACCCTGGAGACACAGCTGACGCCCCAGGTGGTGGAGAGATGGCAAAAAAGCATGACAAATAGGTACTTCGGGTTGAGTGTTTGTTCTTTTTATCTTGGGGAGGCTGGGGGAACTGAAGAATACTGGAACTTTGGTCATTTTAAGAAGAATGGTGAAGAATGCAAAAATACCCAAGAACTGCCATCTTGGGCCACTCTGTTAATTCAGCCCAAATTTCTTGCTCAGTGAGAGGCAATCAGAGAGCAGTTGTGAGAAACACACCTGCTCTCCATAATGACAGTTTCAGAAGTTAGGGACAGGTGATTTAGAGCCAGTTTGGAAATAATCCCGGCTCTGCCACGTACTTGCTCTGTGGCTTTGAGCCCCAGCTTTATCATCCGTAAAAGTGGCATGATTCTATGACTTCCCAGGGTCACTGTGGGGAATATACAGAAAAGTGATGTCGACCATCCCTCACAGAGCCTGGAACCTGGGAGGTATTCAACAAAGATGAGCACTCCCCTTCCCTACCTAAGAAATCCAGAGGTCCTCTTAAGCCATTACCATTCATGATTTTCCTCTGTTATTATTTATTACTCCATAGTCAAAACTACAGGTTTTAAATATTTACTAGGATTATTATTGGATCATGGCAGAAGGAATGGAGAAGTCACATTTTTGTTTACTGAATACTGGCTAGGCCCATATTAAGAAGAGAATTTGGTTTGGGTGTCCTTTAAGGACAAAAATACAAAGAAATGCAACAAACTGAAAAGCAGGCTCTTAAGGTAAGGTACATGGCCAGGTATCGAATTAGTCATCAAGCCCTGTCAATTTCTCCTTAAACATGTCCCTTCCGTAGCTACCTCCTTCCTAACCTCACTGCCCATGACCTTCTACCCTGAGCCGGGGGAGGCCTAACCAGCCTGCCCGTTCCATTCCTCAGTCTACCCCAGAACTGGCCACCAGACCAGCATTCCCAAGACACCATCTCCAACCCCCTCTTCTCATAAACTCTCTGTGGACCCCTCACCCACAAGATACAGCCCAGCTTCTTGGCCTGGCCCAAAGACACAGCCCCCATCTGGCCTGCTCTGCTCCTCTTCCTCCTCTCGTCTCTCCTCCCCTCCTGCCCGGCGCCCCCTGGCACTCCAGCCAGACCACAGTCTCACACTCCATTTATCAGGCCCCCACTCGGAGCTCCCTCCAGGTCTCTGCTCATGCAGCGGGCCCACCTCATCTCTCAAGCTGTGGGCAGCCTTCTAGGCCACAGGAATATCCCCTCCTCCACACCCCTCCCAAGTGGCTCCAGTAGTCAGATCTATTCTAGTCATTCAGACATTAATGTACCATCTTTGCATTTTTGCTGCTTAAATATGTGAGTCTTGGCTTGCCAAAAGGAAATCAAGCTCTTGAGAAGGGCAACCATGTCTGACATCTCTTTATCCCCATGAGTGCTGGACTTGGCCCCAAAGGCACTTGTTGCTGTTCATCCAGTCAAGTGCTGAATGAGTTGAGGCAAGGACTGAGAATGTTTAACACTGTCTGGTGTATGAGGGGTTCTTTTTTTAAGTACACCGACCAAGTATTCCACTCCCTAATTAATAAGAAACACCTGAAATCAGGGACCCAAACAAGAGAACTATTTTAGATACCTTCTCAAATCATAAGCCAGTAATAGTTCTGCTGCTGACCTAGAAGACAGGACATGAACCACACAGTGTTGAGGAAATTACTGTATAGTTACAACAGTAACTATAATTCAATTTTAAGTAACTAGAATTACAATGAGATGGTATTTCCAAAATCCTCAACTGACAGTACAGTAGTCTCCCCTTATCACTCTCCATGGTTTCAGTTACCCATGGTCACCCATGGTCCAAAAATATTAAAAGGAAAATTTGAGAAATAAACAACCCATAAGTTTCAAATTGCTCGCTGTTTTAAGTAGCATGATGAAATCTTGTGCCATCCCACTCTGTCCCACCTGGGACGTAAATCATCCCTTTGTCCAGCAGATCCACGCTGTATACACTCCCCATCCATTAGTTACCTAGCACCCGTCTAGGTTATCAGATCGACTGTCATAGTATCACAGCTTGTGTTCAAGTAACCCTTATATTACTTAATAATGGCCCCAAAGCGCAAGAGTAGTGATGCTGGCAATTCAGATATGCCAAAGAGAGGTTATTATTGTTAATCTCTTACTGTGCCTAATTTATAAATTAAACTTTATCATAAGTATGTATGCATAGGAAAAAATATAGTATATACAGGGTTCAGTACTAACCACAGTATCAGGCATCCACTGAGGGTCTTGGAACATATCCTCTGCAGATAAAGGGGGGACTACTATACCAGGATATGAATTCCCCCCCCGCCCAAAGCCCCAGGAAATAGTTGTATGTCATAGCTGCACATCCTTCTAGCTGCTGTATGTGGGACACGGCCTCAGCATGGCCGGAGAAGTGGTGCGTCAGTGCGCGCCCGGGGTTCCGAACCCGGGCCGCCAGCAGCAGAGCGCACACACTTAACCGCTAAGCCACGGGGCCGGCCCCAGGATATGAATTTTAACAAGTGCTGTGTCAATTTTGTGATAAACACAACCAAGGGGGAGGGGGAGAGAGGGGTAGGTTGTGGACATTTGAAGGAAAAATGTGATTCTTTTGTAACTTGTGAGTCAATAAAACTGGGCGGGGCCTCCTTTTCTTCTTTGACCAGAACGAGAGAGGTTCTCCTGCCTAAATTCAAGCTGGAGAAGAACTATAATCTGGTGGAGGCCCTGAAGTCAATGGGGGTCACAGCACTGTTTAACAAAAACAGCAACATGGCGGGAATCTCAGGCCACAAGATCATCATCGACCTGGTAACCTCTCCCCTTGACTGCCCTCTGCACCCTCCCCAGGGTCTGCCCCCAGCACAGCCTTCCTCCCACCTAGCCTGACTTCACAGGTTGGGGAGGTGCTGGGTCTGCTCTCCTTGCATCTGCCAGATGCTAAGTGGGCAGGGTGGTCTCAGGTCTCAGCCTGGGGGTAAGCCCTGTTCCTACTGACACCAGAGAGTCCACTCCGTGAAATAGGTACTCCCAGTTGAATCATGAAAGACCCATTAAATACATGCAGAGACACTGCACTACCTACACAATGAACTTAACACACCAACAATAGGTGCTCCACAAAAAAGAGAGGCCACCAGTTCAAATAATGTGCAGATCCAGGCCCCATCCGTCTCCTGGCAGTGCGCCCCAGAGAGTGAGAAGGAGATGAGGCCTGGAGCCACTGTCCCGGCTCGCAGACTGCTCATACCGTGACCCCTGCCAAGACTGACTGTGATGCTCGAGTCTGAAGATAAGTATTGTTTACGTAACACGGCCCCTAAGCACAATTTCTGTCCCTGACAGGTGATTAGAGAGAGTTTCAAGGGCCATTCTACCAGCTATGGTTTGGGCCCTGTATGTGGTCTTTTGGTCCTTTCCCCAAATGAGATGAGACTCCACTGTATCCTCTATCCCTGTGTGTGCCAGCCAACGGAATCTGACAACTTTCCTTTCCATTTTGAAACAGTTCAAGCATCAAGGTATCATCACAGTGAATGAGGAGGGCACTCAAGCTGCTGCCGTGACCACAGTGGGGTTCATGCCGCTGTCCACCCAAGTCCGCTTTACTGTCGACCGCCCCTTCCTGTTCCTCATCTATGAGCACCGCACCAGCTGCCTGCTCTTCATGGGGAGAGTTGCAAACCCCACCAAGTCTTAAAGGTGGAGGTCTGGGCATTTCAAGTGTTTTGGGGGCATTCTATAATTCTGTTTCCACCCTATCAATGAGAATGGAGATGTTTTGGCATCATGACTTTTGTGGTTTATCCTACCATTCTGAAATCAAGGCCCATATGAGAAAAGAAATTTACAAACAACTGAAAAGCTTGCTGGAATCAATTCTGCGTAGTGAACAATGCCGTCAGTTCATAGAAGTAAATGTTCCTGTGGCGAGTCAGCCGTTACCTAGAGGGTGTCAGCAACATACAGACTGGCTCCTCAGAGCAAACCACTGGGGGCCTCCCTGGGCACCTCCTTCCCCTGCAGTACCCATCTTTGCATATCTGGCTCTATTACTCAAAGCCTTTCTCACCCAGGGCTCCTCATCTGAACACAGAACACAGAAGTGAGCTGCACGACTAATTTTTCACCTCTCCCAACGATGGTGCACAGCTAGCACCATTCCCGAGGCCCAGGGGAAAAGTGACCTCCTGACATTCAAGGGGTGCCCTGGGCATTAGGGCTTAATTTTCTCAAGGCCCAACCTTCTGAACTGATGCTAAATCTGTACTCCTGCTGTCAGCTCACTGCTGCCCAGAGGACAGTGTGTACACGCGGCCATGCCTTCCACCCTAGAGATAAATAAATATCACCACTTTTACTGTGCATCTGTTATAATTCTATTTTTTGAACCTCAAATAACTAAGAAAGGTCAAATTCAAAATAGCTGACAAGCCCAGGAATGACAGAGGTTGACAGAATAACTTGAGTTCTCCACAGTGACCCATGTACTACAGCAGGGCACATTCTCAGGATCAGGAAGTGGTGAGTGTGGCTAAGTCCTGGGGGCAGGGCTGCTGTGGACGGGGCTGTGTGGAAATTCCTGAAATGCCAGTCTTTACATGTGGCACGCTTTCACCCCTTGACGCAGGGAGACTCTCAGGCATGCTCCTGTAGTGGGCCTGGTTGGAGAGAGCAAGTAACATCTGAAGAATATGTTTCCAGATCCTTCGCTACCTGGGTAAGACAAGTGGAATCCAAAGAGGCTGCTCAGAATTCAAGAGTGCCAGCGCCTCTGCAGTGTCAGGGATGATGGGCCATGCCAGGGAGAGCATCACAAGCACTGTGTGTGTGGGCTGTCTGACTGTGACCCCCATAGCCCCGCAGGAGAGGCTTCCTCTTCCTCTCTCTGCAGAGGAACAAGACCAGATTTGGCAGGGCGCCAAAACCTGCCCAAGGTGCCGCTGCAGTGAGTTGCAGGGCCAGGGTTCAAGTGTAGGTTGGCCTGATTCCAGTGTCACACATGGAGTCTTGTCACAGAGGACTTCTGACCCAGTGAGACCAATATCAGTCATGGGGGCAGCAAAAGGGGAGCACTGAGTGCTCCCCAAGGTAGGGGTCACTGTGATGGGTGTGCCCCCAGGTTATCTCACACCAACTCTAGGAGGTTTACACTATTATCACCTCCTTTTTGCAGTTAAAGAAACTAAGGCTCACAGAGGAGAAGTGATCTGCCCCAGGCCTGAATTCAAACCTAGGCCCTGCTTTTCGCTGCTTAACCCTCTCCACCTGCTCCCATCCCAACTTTCTGCGCCAGAGGCCCTGCCTCCAGTATCCACTGACCAGTACAGGGTTGAGGCCAAGGCCTTCCCTGTCACACTCTCTTGACCTCTCACTGAAACTTGAGGCTGTTAATGACCCACTCCTTCAGTTCCTTCTCCAGTTGGCTTCAACACTGTTTTTTCTGGTGCTTGTCCTGTATGTCCTTACTGTTGGTTCCTCTTGCTCCTCCCATTCCTAAATGCAGCTCTCTCAAAAAACTGCCTTCATCCCTTTGCCATGCCTGTCCCCTATCCAAATGGCAACAGTCTCGCTTCCAATGTGGCCTGCTCCACCTCTGCTAGAGCCAGCCCAGGCTCCTCCATCACCCTGCACAGGCCAAAGCCCTCCGGCCTGCACACTTTTCTTTCACTCATATCCACTCAGAAGGCCTTCGGCTCCCCTCTTTCAGAAACTAGCTGACCTGTGTTTCAAGGCAGTACAGTATTAATTGAGAGCACACATCCTAAGCCAGGCTGCCTGGGTTTGAATCCTGGCTCCGACATTTAGTAGCTATGGGATTTTAAGGCAAGTTCTGTGCATCAGTTTCCCCATCTGTAAAACGGGGATAATAACAGTGCCTGTTATTTAATAACAGGGATGTTATGAGGATTGAGTTAATGCCTGGAAGGGGTCAAGATCAGTGCTTGGTGCTTAGCAAGAGCTAGGTAAGGACTTCTTGTTACTGTCTGCATCTGAGACAGCATCTAGCCCACGGGTTCCTAACTGGGGGCCCTGCGTGGATTTCTCCCACTTCACTTCCTATTCCTTGTGAATAGATGCATTTCTATGGAGGGAGAGGGCATAGCTTTCAAACGGGTCTATGACCTAAAAAATGTTAGTCCACAAACCTCATTTTGCAGGCACTGAGAGAATAAGTAACCCATCCCAAGGACGCAAAAGCTACCAGTGGCACAGGTACACTAGCTCTAAGTGAAGTGCACAAATTTTTTCAAGCAGGAGGTACATCTTATTAAATCACTACTTTATGGCAGTGGAGCAACTAGGTCTCTAAGCATTAGATACCTTTCAAAATGCTTAATTAACTAGTGGGCTAGACACCAAGAGAAGCAATTTCATCAGTGATCTTTCTGAAGAAATATTATTCATAAAGTTGCAGGACAAAGATCACCAAACCTAGGCATGAAGGAGCCTCAGAGATCACACGACCCAGCCTCCAAGCGACTCCCTCCAGGCTCCCAAGGTCACTGAGGAGTGAACAGCTGCTTTAAGAGAGAAACCCAAGCTTCCTGCCCCAAACCCACTGGCACTTCTACTCAACAAAGTATTCTGAGACACTTTGTCATCAAAAGACCCAAACAGAGTATCTTTTTTTAAAAAAAGAAAAAAGTACAAAACATTACAAAAAACCCAAAACTTTGGAAATCAGTTTCTCCTAAAAGGTCCAAGGGGTAAACCAGAAAGCACATGCAAGAACCTATGATCTCCGTGCTCTTTGTTGAGCAATACAATCAAATATTTGTTCCCCCCCCCAAAATATAACCATTAACTTCTGTTAAAACTACAATACTTATTCTACTCATGTAAAAGGTCACCACAGCGAAGGAAACATTTTAAGTGACGATGTTCCAGCCAATCACTGCTAACAGTTATGCCTACACTGACCCAGCCGGGCACTTAAGAGGGTCTCTCCAACTTTTTAAGAAGCCCTGTTGGCAAAGCAGGTGTGGAAAGGCTGAGACCTCAGCCAGGATCCCCACGCAGAACCAGGAGTCCAACCCCAGCCCTTGTGACCCTAAAACCCATGTGCTCCCAACCAACCTCACCAGTCATCACTCCCCAAAAGTGCAAAGTGCCCTCTACAGATTTCTTATATGCACTTATTAAACTCTAAATGACAATTGCTAAATATGCTTAAAATCTCACAGGCATGCAGGTCATAGAATTCTGGTGTTCAAAGATCCCAGAACTCATTAATTCGAGTGTCACCCCAAGCATGCTCCCTGTTTGCCAAAACCTGTTCTCCAGTGAGCCAGCCACCCAGCCCTTCTCCCCTCCAACAAGCTGAGAGAGTGCCACGGACTTTATACCCCTCACTTTTCCCTCCAGGCCAAACAAAGGGTCCATGTGCAATAATAGCACTTCTAAAACATAACTGTATACTAGTCAATATTAACTATAAAGTAAAAAAATTTGTTTTTAAAAATTAACGAACGGGGGTGTCGATGAAAAACACCATGGCAGAGAGAGTTCCATCAATCCTCAAATCCTCAAAGGGCTGTGGGAGAACACCTGATCGCGGGTACCAAGGCGGAAAGGTACCCAGGGGAACGTGAAAAGCCACAAGGTAAGCAGCTACGGTCACTGTGCTGCCGGCCCAATGCCCCTGTCCCCTTAAGCACACTCAGGAAGAGGAGACTGTCCTGACACAGATGTGGCAGGCGAACAAGGCACTCTGCTCCACCTCCTGAATCAGCCACTGACTGTAGGGAGGGACAGGAGAGAAAATGACAGACGCAAGGTGAACTGGAAGCAGAATGCTCGACAAAATGCAATACGTGACATCTTATGACATCTTACTATTAAAGGTAAAGAACAATAAACCAGTTACTATTTTTCATCCATCTTGGCCAGCTAAAATTGGACCCCCTAAATGTCTCCAGAATCAGAATGATGAACACCCAGACTGCAGCAGGTGCAGAAACCACTTTGCTGAGATCAGGAGAGGTGCCTCTCAGTTTGCCTGCCTGATGACCTCTACAACCTGGGTCACCCCAGAGCTCGGAGGTCAACCCCTCTGGTGTTCCACATGAAGGGACACACATGTCAATGCTCAAGACTCAAACTACTAGGGGTGGAGTGGCGTGGGAAGGAACTGGAAGGCAGAAGCAATGGCTAAACTAGAAGCTGGGTTACGTGGAAGCTACCGATGAAAACAAATACTAGAACATCGTGCCCTGGCTTAGGACCAGCAGCAAGGAACGACTGAGAAAAGGAAAAATGACTTCTACGAAGGCCATTTGGGAAGACTCAGTGAACGCAGGTTGAGACAGGACAAGATGGAGGCGGGCTCTCTACCACGGCATGCTGTGGCAGGTAAGAGGGCCCACGATGTCCCCCAGATGACACTGAGGGCTGCAGCTCCAAGGCCCAAGCACCAGCCAGAGGCCCCAGGCCGCATCTGGCAGGAAGGGGCCAGGGAAGGGATGGAAGAGGTGCCAGCCCAGCAACAGTCAGAGGCACCAGAGCAGGGAATGAGACACAGGGTGAACCTGGAGTCGGACTTTGTCCCTGGGAGCCACGCAAGAGGGAACTGAAGCGGGTTCCCTGGTCAACTGAGGTTCGGGCAGGGCACGGAGAAAGGGAGTGAGACACTGTGGCCATAGCAGGTACATATCTACAGGACAGTCACAGAAGAGCTGGCGGTGGCTGAAACACAGCCCCATCTACAGAATCACTATGGCCTCAAAACAGCATTTTTCTAAGAAATTTGTTGTGCGTCGCTAGGCAACACTCAAAACATGAGCACAGTATCTGGAGTCTGACATCACCCTACTAATGAATACTCACCACAGCTATTACAGGAATGAGTACGCCCAAGTTCCCCGCACTGCTAGAAGCCTAAAAAAGAATAGAACTGAGTCACTGATGAGCATGTGTTTCTTTTATTTAAAAAAAAACAAAAGAC